TATATATATATATATATATATATATATATTGTGTTTTTAAATATGAGCAAATTTTAACTATTTATGTCTCATTTAATTTATGTCTCATTTAATGATATTTTTCCTAAAATAGTTTCCTTGAATGCAAATTTTTTAGTTGTATTACTTCTTTAGATATTTATAATAAAGATAATTTATGAGGAATATTGTGAAAGTGGTAGAATTTAATGTAGATAATTAACTTTTTAATATGCATAAGATATAATAAAGACTAGAGGAAATTGACAATACATATTTAATAAATTTATATTAAAATAATTATAGTGTTTAATATGATGAAATATTAATAACCTTTTTTTTTTCTTTTTTCTTTTCAGAACATGCTTACAAGATCTTTCTTTTAATTATGGCAATTACTTCTTTCACTCTATACACATGGGCAACATATTTCTTTTTCCTTCTTGTTTCTCTCTCTCTTTCTTTTAATCACATTATATTTCGACTAAACGACTATTTTGGTACAGTTTTAGAAACTATATACTAAAATGGGGTTGTTTTGAAACATATTACACGTTTGGGACTGTTTTTTACGGTGTCGCTATGGGTCATAGCGACACAATTGACACGTGGCTTTTTTTTTGGGCTTGGTTGGGCTGGAATGAGCCACATCAGTGTCGCTATAGGCTGGGCCAACACAGTTGATGGATTAACAAAAATGATGTAGCCCATAGCGACACCCTCTAAGAAAAAAAAAAGAAAAAAATGAAAATAATATAAATGTAAAATAAAAATAATAAACTGTTATTTATTATATATTTATAAAAATAAAATTAAGTTTTTTAAAAATGTAATTTTAAAATAAATTCTTATATAATTTTTAAGAGAGGCGCTATGGCCTAAACCCTAAACCCTAAATCCTAAACTGTGTCGCTATGGGCTATAGCGACACTGTGTCGCTATGGGCCACAGCGACACTGCTTTTAATTTTTTTTTTTCATTCTTTATATATATATTTTTTCTTCTTTTGAATTTGTTTATTTTATATATATTTTTCCTTTAAATATTTATATTACGAATTAAATATATATTTAAATATTTAATAATTTCTTTATATGTTAATTAAAAAAATATTAAACGAAAAATGCAAAAAAATTAAAGGTTTTATGTGGTTGAATCTAAAAGAATAACGTGGTTTGTTAGATGTAAAAATGTGGTTGATGGTTGTGAATG